GATGAAGGAAGGTCTGTGGATGTGGTATATCTGGATTTTGCAAAGGAATTTCGATACAGTTCCCCATAAACACTTAATTCATAAATTGAGGTCTGTTGGCTTAGACCGCAGGGTATGTACCTGGATAAAAAATTAGTTACAGGGGTGCGTCCAAAGTGTGGCGATAAATAGCGTTTACTCAGAATGGTCTGGAGTGGTAAGTGGGGTACTTCAAAACTCTGTTTTAATTTATTCGTAAATGACATAGAGGTTGTTATAAATAGATCAATCTCAGTGTTTGCTGACGATACAAAGCTAAGCAGGGCAATAACTCTTCAGCAGGCTATAGAAACTTTACAAGACCTAAATAAAATTAATGGGTGGGCAACTACATGGCAAATGAGGTTTACTGTTGAAAAATGTAAAGTAATGCACTTGAGGGCTAAAAATATGAGGTTACTTGCTAGAGGAAACACTATTGGGGAATCCAGGATGGAAAAAGATAAAAAGATCTGGGGGTTCTAGTAGCAGGCTCAGCAATGGCATGCAATGCCAAGCTGAGCAAGCAAAGCAAGCAGCATATTAGCATGCATTAAAAAAGGTATTTACTCGAAGGATTAAACTATAATTCTACCCACTTTACAAAACTCTGGTTCAGCCACATCTTGAGTATGCCATCAAGTCCTAGCTACCTTTGCTCAGAAAGGATCTGCTGGAACTGGAGAGAGTCCAGAGAAGGGAAACAAAGCTAACAAGGGGGCTGGAGGACCTCTGCTTATGAGGAATGACCACAAACATTAAAATTATTCTCCCTGGAGAAGAGACGGTTGAGAGAAGATATGATAGCAACATACAGATACCTCAACAGTGATTCTAGCATAGGGAAAAAATATTCGGCTTCAGGGAGCTTAAGAAGACGCGCGGCCACTCAATGAAACTGGAGGTGAAGTGGTTAAACCTTAAATTGCATAGGGGGTTTGTTACTGTTAGAGCAGTAAGGATGTGGAACTCCCTTCCACAATCAGTGGTGCCAGCAGGAAGTGTTGATAGTTTCAAAAACTCTTACATGGGCATCTTAGTGAATGCAATATAAAGGGGTTTGGCAAATGGTATTGACATCAGTATGTACACACAACCCACAGAAGTTGAACTATATGGACTGATGTCCTCATTCAACTTTACTAAGTATAGTAACATTTTTGATTTCTGCTCACTTTCAGTCCCAGCGGCTATGGTCCCCAGGGCAAACAGTAGGGCCAACTTCCCTAGAAGGGAGTCAAATAATTATGCATGACTCCAACCCTTAAAGCATTTTCTTCATAGGCTGGAATCAGATCCTGACTTGGAGTCCATTATTCTACCACACATAGCTGAGTATTATCCAAAGGACAAGAGTGATGTCTTCACAGGCAAAACTTCAATCGGCTGACAAGCTTCAGCACATTGTCCTGCCCATAGGACCACTCCTCTCTGACATGGTTCACCCAATGGGCTTCATCAAGAGGATTCTTTATGATTATGCCTTTCGGATGAAACATGTCACAGGAATGGACTTGAGGGTAGGGCCATGTCCTGAAGCTTTTTGACTGATTGAAGTTTTGCCTCTAAAGGCATCATTAGTGTGCTGCTTTACTTTAGCTTATACCATAAAAAATTGGATTTAGATACACTTTAAAGTGAATATGGAAAATAAGATTAAAAATTATACTTTCTTCTTAACCTCAAACTAGCTGTTGCAATTAAAAACTCTAAGATGGGATAGGAACATCAAACCTGCTTAAATAAAATCTAAACTAGTTAAATAAGATACCAATATCTTAAATCTTCTAGGCACAAGAGCCGATGTGAAAAGGAAATTGCACTTAGAAACGACCGAGTTCTCTAGCAGCCTTATTAGTGGTCTAATCACATCACTCCTAGTACAGCTTTTGTGTTCTTCTCTTCCTGCCAAGTCTTCCGTTACCCAGCTCTATGACATCACCCACCAAAGGGAAATGAAGTTAATAAAGTGCTTTTTTTGTTTAGAAATTCAACCAAATCCTCTTGTCTGGTCTCTTTATTCACTTTTTTTTTTTATCTATACACAGTGTGCTTCCACTGGCTGCCAGGAGTAGAACATCAATTATCACAAACTGAGAATTGTGTTCCATTTCTCAGCAGTCTTACTCAGGTTTCCATGGCAACCCGGGGACCACTGTGCTGTGAATCAATTTCTGGAGTCGAGCTTGAATTTCTTTTATCATGACATTGCCGACTGGTCGCAGGCAAACAAACAGCAGTTATTTGGATGGATGTGAAGTGTTTTTATTGAGATCTCCGACTCCATTTTATTGCTGCTTCTCATTACTATAACAGCATGGTGTAAAATAACTGAAGATTTTAAATTTCTGCATGTGCAATGGAACAGGAATTTTAATTGGAGCGAATATAAATTAAAAGGGTTTCCAGTGTAAATGGAAATCCACTCCATGCAAACCTCTTGTGGGGAGAGCAACAAAAACCACGGGGCTCTGCTTTAAAAAGACAGGTCCTGTTCGGCCATGAAACTGAATTTTCAGGGAATAATATGAATCTTTGGATTTTTGCCTACTTATTGCTCCATATTTTATGACTATATTGCATATACAGGGTGGGCCAAAAGTAGGCATACATTACTGAACGGTTCCTTCTTTCAACCAGATGGGGCACCTCCTCGTTTTGTTTGGTCGGTACTGAGTAACCTTCACAACATCTTCCTGCAGCACTGGATCAGGCAACATGGTAGATCGGAGAGGGCTGAGTGCATGGGGATGCAGCTAGAGAGGAGCTGAGCTGGGAGCATTGTTCATCTGGTGCTGATTGCATACCTACACTGGACCTGATCGCATGTAACCTGCCTGCAGGGGAGCCGCTGGACCTGATCCTGTGCCTCTGGCTGTATAGGATTGCTGGACCTGATCGCATGCTCCGGGCTTTATAGGATCGCTGGACCTGATCGCATGCCCCTGACTGTGTAGGATCGCATGCTTCTAGCTACACAGGATCGCTGAACCCGATCGCATGCAAAGGATCTCCGATCTATAGCTGCGTCCTGATCGCTAGGTGTGTGTGTGTGTTGTCGGTGGTCATCTCTACGATCGGGAAGAGGCATGACAGAAGAAGTAAATCGGATTTTTGCTGAACCCTGGGAGCAGGAGTACCTCTTTGCAGAGTCCTTATTAGAAATCCAAGCATCCACCTAAGAGGAGGAAGAATTTTTGCTCTGCACCCTTAAGGAAAGGAAAGGCCAATCCACGCTGACCAGACCTGTTTCTTCCTGACCGAGGATCCATGGGCTTTTGATATATACTGCTTATGTATATCCGCCTTCTGGTGAGTGCACATTTCTGCTACTTCCTCACGGATCACCATTGTGGATTTCTATTTGTCACCTGGCACGTTTATATGAACTGGACTTACAGTGGACAATTTTCAGATTTATTACTTAGCGCTGCACTTTTATTTATATTAACATGGTAGCATTGACTGTCCGCCATGTCAATCTGACCTGATATTTATGCACTTCTTTTTTTGAGGGTAGATAAGGGATATAGCTTTTGAGAGCAAGCCCCGCACAGTGGATGAACTGAAGGAGTTTATCTCACAAGCATTTATGGACATTGATGCTAACCAGAACTTGTGTGTTACCGTGTGTTGGGAACAGGATCCAGGGAAGCTGCACGTTGATGGAGGACAGTTCCAGCACCTAAGAGACTAAAGAGTGTCACAGTGTCAGGGACAGGTTCCAAGGATTTTGCACCTAAGAGACTAAACAGGACATGTTCAGTACTGTATACTTCCTTTTGGCATATCTTTGTCAGTACCTGTAGTGTAAAAGAAAAACAAAACAAAAAACAATAAAATTAAAATAAAATTTCATGATCCAAGTAATGTGTACGTAACCAGGTGCTAGACTACAGAAACATGGATCAGTTTACTTTCGCTTTCTGCTAATATGCTGAATATTGTGTTGCCTATTCCCTCCAGTCAGCAGAGGGATACTATAGCCAGGAAACCTACGAATTCCTATGGAGAATGGGGAGGATCATGGGATTTGAAGTCCAGGAAGTAAGCCATATTGTGGCCCTTATGGACCCTTTGCACTAAAATTCCCAAGAGACACTGGGACAAGGAGAAGCAGTGGAGCTGCTTTTCTGAGACTGTGCAGCTAGGTTCTATCACTTAGCACTGAGGGAACCAATGAGAGGGAATCTGCTGCATACTAACCAGACTGGTGAGTGATCAGACCAGCAGTGTTAATTTTGTTGACTAAAATATTTTCGTCGACAAAATGAACACTATTTTAATTGACTAAAACAATTCAGATGACTAAAATACAACTAAAACTAAAATGGCATTTTAGTCAAATGAGTATGACAAAAACTGAATCGAAATTTGACGTCACAATTAACACTGGACTACCGCATAAGAATAAGTGGGGGGCTAAAAGAAAAAAAATTAAGAAAAAGGCTTTTATTTTTTGTTAATATTTAATGGTATTACAGTCAATAGAGTTTTTTTTTTTGGAAGGGGGGGTTTATATTTTAACCTCTTGCCCTCCAGAGGATTTACCCCCCTTCCTGACCAGGCCATTTTTTGTGATACGGCGCTGTGTTACTTTAACTGACAATTGTGCAGTCATGCACCGCTTCACCCAAATGAAATTTACATCTTTTTTTCCCACAAATGGAGCTTTCTTTCGGTGGCATTTGATCGCCTGTGCAGTTTTTTTATTTTTTGCGCTATAAACGAAAAAAGAGCAACAATTTTGAAAAAAAACCCCAATATTTTTTACTTTTTGTTATTAAACATGTCCAGGAAAAAAATTTTAAAAAATCTAATTTCGTCATAAATTTAGGCCAAAATGTATTCTGCTCCATGTCTTTGCTAAAAAAAAATCCCAGTACATGTGAATTAATTGGTTTACATGAAAGTTATAGCGTTTACAAATGGCGGTATATATACTGAAATTTTTATTTTATTTTTACTAGTAATAGTAGTGATCAGTGACTTATAGCGGGACTGCAGCGGGCATTCTGACACTGGGGGGAACTGACTTGGTGTCACTGAAATCCCCAGTGACAACAATACAGTAACCAGTGCTAATAAAAAGCACTGACACTGTACTAATGGCACTGGGCAGGAAGGGGTTAACGTGAGGGGCGATCAAAGGGATAACTGTGCGCTGTGTGCTGTTTTACTATGGGGGCTGTGTGTGTGTTTCCACTGTAAGCACAATGCTATGTATGGCTCTGCTATGCGGAGCCATACAAAGCAGTGTGCAGGAGCTGACAGGGGAGAGATCTGTATTGTTTACATACAGGTCTCTCCCTTGTTGGAAATCCTCGGAGATTGCTGGGTGCTGGTGGGGAATCACCTGCCGGGACCCAGTGATTGACAGCCGAAGCCGCGAATGACGGCGTGGGTAGGGCGTGTACACGGCCCCTACCTGGAACTGCAAAATCATATACTGTATATATACACAGTTAGGTCCATATATATTTTTTGGACACAGGCACAATTGTAGTTTTTTCAGGTATTTACCAACACATATTCAAGCTATAGTTATATAATGGATATGGGCTGAAAGTGCACACTCTCAGGTTTAATTTGAGGGTATGTACATCCAAACTGGAGGAATAGTTTAGGAATTACAGCTCTTAAGAGTATCCATCCCCCCTTTTCAAGGGCCCAAAGTAATTGGACAATTGAATATAATCATAAATAACATGTTAATTTTTAATATTTTGTTGAGAATCCTTTACTGACAATGACTGCCTGAAGTCTGGAACTCATGGACATTACCAAAGACTGGGTTTCCTACTTTCTGATGCTTTGCCAGGCTCTAACTGCAGCTGTCTTCAGTTGTTCTTTGTGGGTGTTTCTTCTTTAGTTTTGCCTTCAGCAAGTGAATTGTATGCTCAATTGGGTTGAGATCAGGTGATTGACTCGGCCATTGCAGAATATGCCACTTCTTTTCCTTCAAAAGCTCCTGGGTTGCTTTAGCAGTGTGTTTTGGATCATTGTCCATCTGTACTGTGAAGCACCGTCCAATCAACTTTGCTGCATTTGGCTGAATCTGGGCTGACAGTATATCTCTAAACACTGCAGAATTCATCTGGCTAATTCTGTCTTCTGTCACATCATCAATAAACACCAATGACCCAGTGCCACTGGAAGCCATGTATGCCCATGCCATCAGACTGCCTCCACCATGTTTTACACGACGTTGTGCGCTTTGGATCATGAGCTGTTCCAAGCCTTCTCCACACTTTTTTCTTCCCGTCATTCTGGTACAGATTAATCTTAGTTTCATCCATCCAAAGAATGCTTTTCCAGAACTGGTCTGGCTTTTTTAGATGTGTTGTGGCAAAGTCTAATCTGGCTTTTCTCTTCTTCAGTCTTATGAATGGTTTGCACCTTGTGGTGAACCCTCTGAGTTTGCTCTCGTGAAGTCTTCTCTTGATTGTAGACTTTGACAATGATATGCCCACCTCCTGGAGAGTGTCCTTCACTTGTCTGGATGTTGTGAATGGGTTTTTCTTTACCATAGAGAGGATCCTGCAATCATCCACCACTGTGGACCTCCATGCCTTTTTATGTTGCTGAGCTCACCAGTGCATTCTTCTTTCCTCAGAATGTACCAAACTATTGATTTGGCCACGCCTAATATTGCTGCTTACTCTCTGATGGATGTTTCATTTTTGAAGCCTTACAATGGCCTGTTTCACTTGCATGGACAACTCCTTTTTATGCATGATGTAGGTTCACAGCAATAGATTCCAAATGCAAATACCACACCTTAGAATCAACTCCAGACCTTTTACCTGCTGCATTGATGAAGAAATAACAAAGGAATAGCCCACGCCTGGCCAGGAAACAGCTTTTCATTTAATTGTCCAATTACTTTTGGTCCCTTGAAAAAGGGGGGTGGCTAATTTTAAGAGCTGTAATTCCTAAACCCTTCTTCCAATTTGGATGTACATACCCTCAAGTTAAACCTGAGAGTGTGCACTTTCAGCCCATATCCATTATATAACTATAGCTTGAATATGTGTTGATAAATACCTGAAAAAACTAAAATTGTGCCTGTGTCCAAATATATATGGACCTAACTGTGTATATATGTGTGTGTGTGTGTGTGTGTGTGTGTGTGTGTGTGTGTGTGTGTGTGTGTGTGTGTGTTGTGTGTGTGTGTGTGTGTGTGTGTGTGTGTGTGTGTGTGTGTGTGTGTGTTGTGTGTGTGTGTGTGTGTGTGTGTGTGTGTGTGTGTGTGTGTGTGTGTGTGTGTGTGTGTGTGTGTGTGTGTGTGTGTGTGTGTGTGTGTGTGTGTGTGTGTGTGTGTGTGTGTGTGTGTGTGTGTGTGTGTTTCGTGCAGCCCTGTAGCAGTATTTCTGCTATAGGGCGGCTCGCAAAAGTGGTTAAAGTTGCACTTCTGTTTGTCAAAAAGCAATATTTCTTTTTACCGGAAATGGAAATTGTGTGACATTCAGGCTACAAGGGAAAGCAATCCAGTGTCCACCACTGTGAGTGCAGGCCAGGGAAGGAGCTTGTTGCAGCTCCAAACAACTGTTAAGCAAAAGATGGATCCCATGAAGCACACATCTATGCAGACCCGCTGGCTTGGAACAAATGGCAGTCTCTGTTTGATCTCCTGCCAGGCCACACCCCCATGGAAGTGTGAACCTGTTGGGAGCCAAGGCTGAGACTGCCATTCATTGCAATACCAGCAGGTCTGCATAGATGTGCGGCTTCATTGGATCCATCCTTTGCTTAACAATATTTTTGTTTGTTTATGAAACTTGGATTTATTGATAAAGACGTTATATTTCACAGTGGCTAAATCTGTGTCTGCATGCATGTTCAAACTTTATTACCATAAATATGTTATTAGATTTTTGCTCCAGGAGTATATAATGAGTTTGGCAAATCTAGAGAGATACTTTAATAATGCATTACAATTTAACTAAACCCATTAGCTTTTAGTTGACTAAAATGTACTGGAGATTTTAGTCAACTATAATGTACTGGAGATTTAGTCAACTATAATGTACTGAGATTTTAGTCACAAAAACAAATAAAATGTTAACAATTCAGATGTCTAAAATACGACTAAAAGTAAACTGGCAATTTAGTCAAAAGACTATGAGTAAAACTAAATCGAATTTTGACATAAAAATTAATACTGCAGACCAGCAGATATGCCCAAGGCAGCACAGCACAGACTGCAACAACAGCATCTGTGCTGTTGACAAAAGGGAAACTAGAGCAGCCTTTCATCCTCTACTTCCCACTGCTGAATTCCTAGAGGCATTCTGTGGAGAAACTGAGGGGGCCCCCCTTTCTACAGTGAGAATTCACAGCCACACCACAGGGACTGGTGAGAGGTCACTGCCCATTGTTCACACTGCTAGCAGGGACTGAGTTACTGGAGGAAGGGCATTTACTGCGATCTTTACTGCACCTTTACCGCACCTATACTACATGTTGGTGTACTAAAACTGTTGTTGAGTGCACCAATGTTTCTTAATGGGCCCCAATGATCACTGGCAGAAGAACAACATAAAGGACTGCCCCTCCCTTATAAATCATCATGCGAGTCCCCTTTGTTCGCTTCACCCATTTTCTTCATTTTTATGGACAGTGCACACGCAGTCGGTCTAGGCCTAGCACAGTCGCCATCAATGCGCTTTGGCAGTATAGTTCCTGTGTTTTCAGTAAATCAATCCTTATTACTGTAAAAATACTAATCTGCGCTATGTGCATTAAAAATTAATCAAACAGCTGCACTCACTGTGTCTTCTCAACAAAATACACAAGTAAAATAAATTAAACAATTGTATTGCACTGTTAAAGATATTAGTTCAATAAAGTGCATACATATACTTCAATAAAGTGTATAAATATAGCAGTAATTCATAACGATAATAAAATTCACAATACTCAATAGTAACATAAATAAATATATATATAGATAGTGTAAACAAAACTGTGCTCAGTGCATCAAATAAAAACAAAAGTGACTTGTGCTTGCTATCCTCACTGCCATGTGTGCCACCCAGAGAAATACAAGCCACTTCCCAGAAGCTGGGACCTCTGAATCAAGGTCCAGCAGCATTTTGTGAAAAAACCCAATCCCAGATAGATGGATCAGCACTTGAAGCTCTGGTGACAGTCAGCCTTTGGTATGATTAATATGAACCCCACTCACAACTACGCAAATAGGTGGCAACCAACATTTAGAGGCAGATCAATCAGCAGACCATTAAGTATAGAAGGAAGTTACTTTTTATTGAGCTTGGTAGGTCACTAATAAGCACTTCATGCTGACAGCTCACTTGACACAAGACATATTGTGTGGAGTCACTCTGCACATGCTCAGTTTGGTGTATATTACTAGAGAGGTTTTTTTTTTTTCTTACGAGCATAATGAAAACTCCTCCTACAAGCTTTAACATCTGGCTGGACATTGATAGAAGTCACAAGACTGCTCTAACTGCTGATGAGAAACGGTATATATCAGTTTATATTTACTAAAATAATTGCACTTCCATGTTCTGTGTCCTGGTGGAGACCAGATATAGTGAATGCAGGGTCCTGGGTTTAGTAACACTTTAATGACCTACCAAGCTCAATAAAAAGTAACTTCCTTCTATATTTAATGTGATTGTAAAGGCTGAAGGTTTTTTACCTTCATGCATTAAATAATTATTTGTTTTACTATTGAGTATTGTGAATTTTATTATCGTTATGAATTACTGCTATATTTATACACTTTGTTGAATTAATATTTTTAACAGCACAACACTTTTTTTTAGCTACTTGCCTACTAGGCACTTATACCCCGTTCGTGCCCAGGGCAATTTTCAGTTTTCAGCACTGTTGCACTTTGAATGACAATTGTGCGGTCAAGCAACATTGTACCCATATGAAATTTTTATCATTTTTTTTCACAAAAATAGAGCTTTCTTTTGGTGTTATTTAATAGCCACTGCGTGTTTTATTTTTTGCACTAAAAAAAAATAGCAAAAAATTTGAAAAGAAAAACTTTTTCTCTGTTTCTATTATAAAATTTTGAAACAGGTAATTTTTCTCCTTCACTGATGTGCGTTGATGAAGCTGCACTGATGGACACTGATAGGCTGCACTGATGAGGAGGCACTGGTGGCCATTGATGAGGAGCACTTTTGATGCTGCACTGATATGCAGCAATGATAGGCACTGATAGGCAGCACTGACTGATGGCACTGATTGACAGCCCTGGCTGATGGAACTGATTGGTGGCACTGCTGGAAACTGATGGGCGCTTATGGGCACAACTGCTGAAGGGGCACTGCAGGGCACTGATCATCAGTGCACTTATGATCTGTGCCGATCTCCTCTGTGACAACTGCCAGTCATCGGCGCATTCTAGGACAACAT